ATGACGTCTGATGGGAACAATAATGACGTCAGATGGGAAACAACAATGACGTCTGATGGGAACAATAATGACGTCAGATGGGAAACAATGATGATGTCAGATGAGAAAGAGTTCATACCTTCTGAGATGGAGGGAAGCAGCCAAGACACAAGGCCATGAGAATCCATCCACGTGATGAGCTGGTTGAAGAAGGGTTTTCAGTCAACTGAACACATATTTGATTGTAGATCTCGTCTCTGCGGAAAATAAATTGGGTCTTAATTTCTATGTTATGACGTAATCTATTGTATATTTCATGTCAGGTCGTGTCATATTTTCTCATTCATATCCTGAAGACATGATATCATTTGCTGTGAAAATGACATCGCATGATGTCACGCCATTAAATGTAACGCCTTTCTGCTCCATGTAACACGACAGATCATCTCACGTCTCGTCGAAATTGAAATTGTGAGTTGAGCGCGTTGTGAATAGAACATTGAATGTAGTGGTAGTGTGTTTTAGTGCGAAAGCACTGCAACGACTAGACAAGGATATAACTTACAGCCTAGTAATGTCTCTACCAATCAGAACGCAGCATTGATGATTGACCATGCACTAGTTGGATTTGACTGATTAGATTGAGATTATATAAGTCATTCATACCTGAGCTCAGGGCGGAAAATTCCATAGCTGCAGATGAATCTGACTTTCGTGATGTTCGAGGTTGGTTTGGACATCAGAGAAAGCTCAGGCAAGCTTTGCCATTCTGGATGCTGATCGAATAAAAAACCGTTAGTAAAAAAAGAAAACAACAACAACAGTAACAGCAACAACAGGAGCAACAGGAGCAACAACAACAACAACAGCAACAACAGCAACAACAACAGCAACAGCAACAACAGCAGCAGTAACATCAACAGAAGCAGCAGGAACAACAGCAGCAACAATGCACAATCATATGACGCAATGTGCTGCGTACCTTAACTGAATCCATCTTGCGTTTAAATGTACCAGCTTGTTTCAGCTCAGCGTTTCTTTGCATTGTACGTTTGAATACATTGTCCTGTAAAGAATTAGACTATCATTTATAGCCAGAAAGTTTAAGTCGTGCACAGATAAAATGTTAATTAATGACTTAATTATGACGCTGTAAGAATTATGACCATTTGAGGGCCACAAGGATCAGTGATAGGTTGCGGCAATTCTACTTTCTTGTAAAATCCTGAATTTAGAAATCGGATAAATTATTTATTTTTTTCCGGTCCGGTATCCTAAAAACTCGTGCGTTCTGATTGGCTGTTTGAGCGGGCGGTATTTTGTCAAAAATAAAACAACAAAACAAAACGATGACAAAAACAAGAAAGAATAAATACGGGAAAAAATGAATAAGTTATTTACCGTCCTATAGTCGGTCCGGATAGGGAAAAACTGTGCCCTTAGTCTTCAAAACGGTCCGTTTTCAAGACCTCGGGCACAGTTTTTCCCTATCCGGACCGACTATAGGACGGTAAATAATATATTTTTATTTATCTAATAGTTGCTGACCTCTTCGCTTATTGCTTCTTCTTTAGGTTCTGGTAGATCCATCATGAATCGTTTAATGACATTGAAGATCGTCAGCGCAATCTGAAAATCATTTTTTTTGAATATATCTAATAAAAAACCACCTCTAGGGTTTCGTGTTTGATTCCTGGACTTCGATAGGTCTCTCCCATGCTAGTTAGATCAGCCCAGAGGTTGTTTCAGGGTTCAATCTGTGAGTTAGCCCTGCCCTGACTTAGATCAGCCCAGAGATTGTTTCAGGGTTTGATCTGTGAGTTAGCCATGCCCTGACTTAGATCAGCCAAGAGGTTGTTTCAGGGTTCTATCTGTGAGTTAGCCATGTCCTGACTTAGATCAGCCAAGAGGTTGTTTCAGGGTTCTATCTGTGAGTTAGCCATGCCCTGACTTAGATCATCCCAGAGGTTGTCTTAGGGTTCTATCTGTGAGTTAGCCATGCCCTGATTCAGATCAGCCAAGAGGTTGTTTCAGGGTTCTATCTGTGAGTTAGCCATGCCCTGATTCAGANTGCCCTGATTCAGATCAGCCAAGAGGTTGTTTCAGGGTTCTATCTGTGAGTTAGCCATGCCCTGATTCAGATCAGCCAAGAGGTTGTTTCAGGGTACCGATATAAAAATAGTGTTTAGTTTGGTTTCGTTTTAATTTTGCAAAGAAATCTGGGTTTTTCATGAGCCCATAATATTTACGAAGTGAAAACTTATGATTGGTGAATCAGAAGTACCTCCTCGTTATCTTCATGTTCTCCCAAGTCATGCAGAGAAGAATAGAGTCGTGTTCTGCAGTAAGTGTAGGGTGACCCATTCTGGTAGTGATCACGTGCATAGTCTGAGAACGCGTACTGCGCAAGATCTGCTGGCTCGTCGAGGGACGTCAACTGAAAGGAAAATGAATGGGCCTATCAAGCTTCTGATTTTTGGGATCTATTCATCTCATCCCACCCCATCCCATCCCATCCCATCCATCCATCCAGCCATCCATCTTTCATATCCATCCATCCACCCATCCCATCCATCCCTCCCATCCATCCCATCCCATCCCATCCATCCATCAGGTCATCCATCCATCCATCCATCCATCCATCCATTCATTCTCAAGGGCCTTCATTATCTTCATTCATCGGCTTATTAGTTATTTCAAAATGTTTGAAAGAATCCCAAAAATCTCAAGAATTCACTTCACTTTCAACCGTAAAAAAAAGTCATGGATTTCTAAACTTTATCATTACATCAAATTTTATTTATCTAACGAAATATGTTTCTCCAGAGATTCTAAAAATTCAAATTATTACAGAGAAATCTGATTTTCTCTCTTTCTTTCTTTCTTTCTTTCTTTTTTTTTATCTTTTAAAGTAACGCAAGCCTTTTTGTTTACTTTACTAAATAAGCTTGATAAAAAAACTGCCGGAGATCATGGAATTAAATGATTAGTAGATTAATGATAAATCGATAATTAATTAATGATAAATTAATGATTACTAAATATTTTGAAGTGAAATGCCATACCTTTTTGATTGGCGAGAGTTCCATGTCTTACTGCAAAAGCTTCAAAAATTATATATTCATAAATCATTAGTTTTCGAGACCAGTAATTATTTTGTGCTATTAAATTTGCTGCTTTGCTAATTGCTTAACTTATAATCAATTTAGTAAATCCTTAAAGATTGATACGAATTGTTTGTCATTTTCTCTTTCACAATAAAAATATCTAGTGTTCAAAACTTTTTAAAAAGGAATAATTATTACGATAGCAATATACTGTGTTGCGCAGTCTAGTCGTGAATTTTAATATTTATACATAATTTAAAATCCAACAGAGTTGCTAAAGTTGTTAAATTTATACTTATATAAATAAAAAAATGCAAAATATACAAGTACAAAAGTAAGGAATACTTGATGGTATATGGTGATAAATTGTTTTTGATAAATTTTTGCTTATTTCCTCTGGACTAAGATTCGAAAAAAACAAACTAAAAAATTGCTTATATTTTATCGAAGAAATTTGTCTTTAATTTATAGACTATATTTCAAAAATATATACCATTTATGCTATTTAAACGTTATAATTTACGTACTCACCTTTCAAGGTGTCACTTTTAATCGCATTGATCAAAAATGACTAGTTTTATTCAGCCACGGGAGAAATCAATAAAAGTTATACTAACAAGTGGCGAAAGCTGGAAGTAAGTTCTCGAACTTCTATCGGTTCGCTTGTCAAGCAGAACTTGCATGTAAAAATTTTTGTCTCGTTATTAGTTAAGAAATATTGACATCCAATTGGTATAAGATGAGTAAAACCAGAAACGAATGGATGGAAAGACAATTGCTTTTGTTATGTAGCAGCAGTCCAAAAATAATAGGAATGCCGGACATATATTTTTGAATTTTTTAAATGTAATTTATAAACTAGTCAAAACACTTGCGATTTTTTTTGCCCGAGGTAATGTGACGATACCTCACGCGTCACGTCATGGTGATGTAAAGGAATGGAATTTGGATGATGTAAACATAGTATGTTGGACTTTCGGTGGGGTGATTATGTACTTGATGAGCAAAAGATGTATAAATAAAGAACTTGAATTTAAGAAAAATAATGAATATTATTGGAGGTTGGATGGATGGACGGGCGGACGGACGGACGGA